CCAAGGAGATTCCTGGCCCCATTTTAAAAAATACATTTTCCCACAGACCTTTGCTAGAGTGAAGGCAGTGAGCATTTGTTATTTGGGAAGGAGGGAGTGGGTCAGCGGCCTGTGGTGAAACCACCCCTTCTCCAGAAGAGCGTTTATGTGAACTGAGATCACAGATGCATTGGGGGCCCTGGCCACCAAGATCCTGTTTGCCAAAGCAAGACTTAGACATAGACTCTGGCAGGTTTTGGGTGTTGCTGGAAAGAGGGGAATGGAAGAAGTGAACTCAGCCCTCCCACCAACTGCCCTGTGGGTGTGGGGCACTTTCTCACACCAACATGATCTAATAGGTCTCTTTAGTGTGTTTGGTTGTTATGTGTAAAAACTTCCCACAGAGAAACTATTCGAGCTCAAATATGTGCTGAAATTCTGGAAGGGATGCCCCCCCCCCGGGAAAATTGTTTAAGGTTAATTAGTCTATATTTAATTACTTTTTTCAGAGTGATATGTAAGGACAGATGATAGAATCAGTGCAAACAGTGGCATCCCATGGATTCGATGAGGCTGAACAGGGAAAACTGAGTTAAAAGTCTTTTTTGTGGATCCCTATTTTACCTGAAAGGTGGCTGAATGATTTTATCAACTCAAAATCTTTAAACAACCAATGAAGAACAAAAACCATAAGAAAGTCATTCAAGAAATCAGTTAGGCTTCAATGTATTGTAATGAATTTTTTAATAGTGAACTTAACTTGTAGAGGACTGATATCCTGATGTAAATAGATCTCCATCTCTCTCCAAAACAGGACAGTGTAAATATCACATATCACTTATACTATGTGAATGATAATATATATGTGCTTACTATTATGGACAGAAAAGGGAAGGACACAGTAAATAAATGAGCCAGTAATTGCTTCTCTTTCTTTCCCTCAACTTTGGGGGTTCAGAACAACACACTGAGATATCCCTTGGGGCACTGTCTTTATAGATACATAAAATAGCAGGACCACAGTTAATTTTCAATCATTTGCATGTGATATGCATAGAACCTTGTATATTACATTGTGTTCCCGGTGTTTTTAGAATTTTTCCCCCCTTTTTCCCCTTAAGCTTGCCAAGATATTCTAAACAATAAATGACATCTGGGAAGGAGAGAGCAAAAATAACAAAAGTAATGATACAAGTGCCTTCTGTTTCCATAGTAGCTTAGTTTTCACATTTCCAGAGACAGATGCACATTGGGATACATATCAGAAATACTGTGAAATCAATTGTTGAGAGAACAGAGCCCTGCTCCTTTTCTAGCTAATTGCTGTAGCAGTCCACACCATCAGACTTGTTTGGTATAATGCCCTGATCTACTGTATATTTATGTTGGTTGTATAAAAGACGGGTGTTTGGTATCAGTGTGCTCCGTGGCTTCTTGGCTTCTTGGGAAGACGACACATACCTGTCTTCTGTTGATCTGGCACTAGTAATGGGACCACAGATGTAATTTATGTCTGTTCCAAGTGAAATAGATGGTTATATGGAAAGATGCTGTGAATTGGTTCTATAATAACAAAAGGGAAGGAAATGAATTTACATTTGTCTCTTCTTTCTTTTTAAGACAGGGAAGTGAACATTCCTGTAAAAAGATAACATGACACAAACTTTCACAATTTACTTAAAATTGTTCTTTTGAGGAAATAACCTTGCTCTGTTCTTGAACTTGAACTAAGTTGGCTTCAGCCTAATGCATGAGAAACAACAGGGAAAAATCGAAAGTGAAACAGATGAGGCCAGTAATAAATTGTAGAATAAAAACTTTTAATATCCACACACAAAAAAAATGTTAAAGGCATCTGTCAGCATTTTGATAATTGTATGTATTATCAGACATACGGAGCTGGTTTAAAGTCAAGCTATAGTTGAAAGTTTACATTGTGACATCCCTGCCTGTTGACTGTAGCCTTGTGGAACGGAAAGTCAGACATGAACTTCACATCCCCAAAAGAAAGATACCCCAAGTATGGTGCCATTGATTCATTAGGTTCATTGTTTAATTTCCCTACAATCTAATGTTGCAAACATTTATAGTAGAGGTCAGTATTTTCACTGCGTGTACCTCAAGTAAGTAATACACTGAATGTACCTCCTCAAGTAAGAATACATTGGCTAGAAATGACGCAGAGGTTCATAGGTAGTCCTGGAAGAGCGTGGATTTTGAGTGGCTCAGGACAAAATCAGCATGTAGTTTATTGGTTCTGTTTAGCTGGGACAGAAAAAGTTATTTTGAAGAATGGCAGTCCAGGCCTACTTTTAAAAGACACACACATTATTTCAGTCTTTTGCCTTTCCTGGCAATTCGATCATCAAGGGTGATAAAGGTGGTAATGTGGGGGCCTGACTGCACATCTGGAAAGTGATGTGGGAAGACCTAGTGCCACTGTGCCACCAGTCCTTAGTGATTATCTGCCGAGCACAAATACAGAGTGGAGGCGGCAACGCCAGCCAGCAGGGACATGTTTGCTGTCTTTGGCTTGAGTTGAGTTGAGGCAGCTGCTTTTTTGCCTCTTGAGCAACAAATGTGATTTCCAGGCCCCCAAAATTATTGAGGAGCTTTTAGTAATTAGGAATGAAGGGTCAAGAATTCAACTTTTTCACTGTTGGGAAACAAAGTTTTATCAGCAGTTTGGAAAGCGTTAGAACTGAGGTGAGGCTTGGGGTATTCCTAGGATGGATGAATGAGCTTTTAGGAAAGCTCGTGCTTTTACATTAAGGTGGTGACTTGACTCATTCAAAGATGCAGTGACTGTACAGTTCAGCAACCTGGAAGTTGGTGATTTTTGAGAAAACAGGATTGAAGGTTGGGCCAAGATTGGAGAGCTTGGCTTGGACAGAGCAGCTCTTAGTGCCTTTGAGAAAGAGAGAGACAGACAGAAAGAGGCAGATTGACAGAGACAGAGAGAGAGATTGGCAGCACCCCATAGGAGAACCTGTAGCTACAAAGCCTCTATCACCTTCTCGAGAGACTGAGACACTCCTAGAGCCCAGAATGACCCAGGAACCCAGCTGCTGTAGGAAGTGGGTCAGGGTGATGGCGCTGGTAAGAATTAGAGTCTGTTTTGTAGGATAGTGACAGGGTGGCTTGGATGATTCCTGAGATCTTGGGGGGCCAGTCAGATCTCTATTTAGCAAGGTCAGCTGGGTGGCTGGCTGGGTCAAAGGCACATCAGACTGAGTGAGGAAGGACACAGGAAATCTGGTGGGGAGGCCACCCACCATCTTTGTGTTGGGCCAGGGCACGAGCTGCTGCGTTGAGACATGGATCCTACACAGACTTGTCATGCTACATTTCATGAAACTCACCAATGGGCTTTCCAGCCTGGCTCCCTGTTTCATCGATGCAAAGGCGGCTGGACTCACCCCTCACTGCATTTCTTCAGCCCGTCAACAGCAGATTGTCATCTGACCGATGTCATTGCGCTGCTGGACTCCTGACTGTAAACATTTGTCCTTCTGATTGTCATCTCAGACAAACTGTGCAGCGTCAGTGGCTTTGCCCAGACATGTTCAAATGTTCAAACATCTTACTGGTCTTTTAAAAGTCCTTCCTGTCCCTACCCTTGTTTGTCCTGGGGACTTAGGGCAGTTACTGGAGTGTTGAGCATTTTGCTGGTGGGAAGGGAAGAATCTTTTCCAAGAAGTCATTTCTTTCAATCTCTCTTTCCCCACTCCTGTAGTTCTTTAAAATTAACGAATGCAGAAGTGAGCTAGAACGGGTCACATGCTCACAGTCTCCAGATCTGGCTGCTTTGCACAGTGCTAGTTATCCCACAAGGCTGGCAGGAGGCCCGAGAGAAGGGCAGTTCTGATACCCTGGAAGCTATCTAAAAGTTGTGGTTTTCTTGGCTGTCTTACAAAATCGTTACCTGTGGTTGCCTTGGTTAGGTCATTTATTCGTGCCAAGGAAAGCTCCTGTGGGGGGTGCCAGAGACTGGGGAGATAGTCTTCTGAACCCTAATGATGCATGCAGGAATGAATAGAAGCGGCATAACTCACAAACGTAGGCATTTCTATCGTCCTTTGTGTGCATGTTCAGTCCTGGGGTTAGGAACCAGGCCCCCAAGGACACTATAGGTCACTGCAGCAGCACCTCAATGTGAGTGTGGTAACTAAGTAAGGTTTGAGCATGTCCTATATCCTGGGTTCTGTGGCACGGACCACATTCTAGGCATTGGATGGTACTTCCCATTCCTCACTGTGAGTTAGGTGCTACTATTTTCCAGCATTGCCAGAATTTAGGAATGTGTGTAAAATGTCTGAACCAGAAGCGGCCATGGTCACCCAGCCAGATGTGAACCCCCCAGAAGTGTGGAATTCAGAGCCCTCACCCAGGGAAAAGCCAGACATGTTTCCTCACTTATATCAGAATTTATTAGTGTATTCGCTGTCCGAGCTATACATGGGACGCCAGGACTAAAAATTTCAAGTCTTGTCTGAGGAGCTGTTGGCCCAGGGATGCCCCAATCCAAGCTTCTCATGGGTTCATGAGTCCTCAACTGGAATAACTGGGAGTGTGGCCCTGATGTCTGCGTTTCTCAAAAGGAGGCTCTGGTGCAGCCACAGAGCCTGATGGGGCATCGGGGACACGCTCACACTGATCCGGGCCTCTGCTGAAGGTGCTTCTCTGCTCACACGTGCTAAGCTCTAGGTCCAAGGCTTTAGTTTGGGCACCAAATGGGCCCCAGTTGGAGACCTGACTTCTTGGCTTGTTACCCTGCAATCCTGGGAAAGTTGCTCAATTTCTTTGAGCTCCTCTCTGTCCATCTAAATGGTGAGAACAGGTCCCACCTCTGAGGGCTGTCCTGAGGATTCGAATGGTTGCATCCAAGACAGCCTGGCACATGTTCACCATTAATAAATATCGGTGATTATTACTATAAACGCTGAGGAGAGATCAAAGACCAGGGAACTGACGGCCTTTGTTCTTTCCCTGTTTCACCCTCCCGCCCTCCTTTCCCTCAGGACGGCTCCCTGGGAAACATCGATGATTTGGCACAGCAATATGCAGATTATTACAATACCTGTTTCTCCGACGTGTGCGAGAGGATGGAGGAGCTGAGGAAGCGGCGGGTTTCCCAGGACCTGGATGTGGTGAGTGGGGCCTTGGGGAATGCTTCTGCCAGGAGGCGGGGGTGGCTGCTGTTAACTCTCCTGGCCCAGCCTCTCTGCATAGAGCGTCTCAGCCTGCAGGACGCTGCACTGCAGTGGTTTGGGGTGACGAATTCATGAATTCAGATCCCTGAAAGATCCCTATCTTTACAGATAGGAAGTTGAATGAGAATTAACTGGGACAATATGGTCAGATCTTTGTAGTCATTCAAAGATAGGATTTTTATTCATTTTTTTTTTTTAAGATTTATTTATGCATACAAGAACTGGGGTAAAGGCCAGAAGATTCACCAGAGACAGAGTGGGGAGCAGAACAGGGAGATCAATGAAGTACACTGCTGAGGGGAGCAGTGGGTGGACCAGGAGAGGTCTGCCATACCACGTGGGTCACTCCTTGGCCAGGAATCGAACTCATGCAGTGGTTGCAGGCAGCTTCACAGTGCTGTGCTTTAACTCACTGCACCACCAAGGAGGGCCCTGTTTCTTTTTTTTAACTTAAGGATAGTGTATGTTTGGACAAGTAGCTCAGTGTATACTGCAGCTCTGAAGACTCCCAGCCCAAAGGAAGTGTTTTCTGCCTGCCTCCCCCCACCACCCCTGCCTCTCTTCCACCTTCCCTCGCCCCTATTTCTTTCTCTTTTTATCAAAAAGGCACAATGTAAAGAAGCAAGAAGCCACCCTAATCTCTCACCCAACAATAATCGTGTTGGTGTTTTAGGAAATCTCTGGTCATTGTTTCTGCTGGGCATTTTTACTGCAGGAATGTAATTCTTGCTTTTTTACTTAACATTTGATTATAGTTTTTCCGAGCCACTAAGACCTCTTTATAATCACCATTTCTTCATGACTGTATTCTCTTCTCTCCCTTGGGTGCCTGGAAATTCATTTGGCTGTTTTGTAAAGGCCTGTGTGCATGTGCTTAGTGGAACATTTGCACATGCATGCGATCACTGGTAAATAAGTAGGTTAGGCCCCTGAAGAGTCTGTACGTGCTCCTGTTTCCATGACGCACATTTGCTATAAAGCAGCATACTGAAACTTCTGCATTTGTCATCTCAAACTTGCTCCATCTATTATACTTGAATTCATTTTGGTCCAGTGATTTTCAATTGTTCTGTTTCCCTGTGGTGACCTCAAGATGGATTCAGGATTAGGAGGCAGAAGACAGGGTTTGGCCCTCGTGCCTGGCTTGACCAGCACCCTTGACCATCTTCCACGTCCTGGGGAGCCTGTGGGGACCTTTTTGAATAAGTCCTCTGCCCTCACAACATGCTTGAAGACTGCTGTTTTTATTTACTGCCTTCTTTAAAATAAAATCCCATAAATCTACTTAAGGAAGGCAGGTAGGGGGAATTAAGAAACTAGGAGCAGGCCATTTCAAAATTAATAATTCTTTTTTTGTTACTCAGGGCCCAGTAAACCAGAAGCCTACAAACAGTTGAGGCAGCAGTACTGTGTATGTCCCTAGTGGACCTGACCCAGCACCATCGTAAATGCAGAGCAGGGGAATATCCCCCCACCCCTCTGAGCTTTTCTGAGGTTGGAGGATGAGCTATTAGGAGAAAAGACAAATATTCCTAACAACCCCATGGGAACTTAGCTGACTGTAAATTCTAAAGTAGATGGGACAAGCTAAGGGTTTATATTCTGATTAAGGCTCTAGCAAAATCTTGCCTGAAAGTGTTTGCCTGTAACTGTTTCTCAGTTAAGAAAGGTTTTTAGGGGAGAGATCCCTAAATCTGGGTAACTTACATTCTTTAAGGACTGATTACAGTTCTTCCTGAGGCCTCCATTGACCTCAGTTCCACATACCTCCGTGAAACACTACTACCAGAAAGCCTACTCTGGTCATCTTGGGAAAAGCCTGTAACATCCCCTACATACCTGTTTCCTTAATGCAGCCTAAGTGAAGATTCCTTAGGTGAAGAGTAACCTATTAGGCTGTCAAATGACTACTGATTCTTTTATTTCATGTTCACTGATTTAGCAGCGGCAGGAGTGGAAGTTAGAATAGTAGAGTCCATCGAGCCTGAGAAGTATCCAATGGGACCAGAAGTCATCGCCCCAAGGGGCTAACACCAAGCCCTAAGCAAGCACATGGTCACCAATATCACCAAAGGCGTCTTCCCTATAACTTGGTCTCTTGTGTGATAGGAGGGATTATTTCCTCCCGTTAAAAAAAGCAACCTGCTGGCCCTCCCTGGTGTTGCAGCTGGTTAAAGCACAGCACTGAGAAGCTTAAGTCACTTATGCATGAGTTCGATCCCTGCCTGCTCCAGAGGTGACCACATGGCGCAGCAGACCTCTCCTGACCCGCCCGCTGCTCCCCTCAGCAGTGTACTTCATGGATCTGCAGGTTCTGCTCCCCGCTCTGTCTATGGTGAATTCTCTCACCCTCCGCATCTCTGGCCTGTACCCCAGTTCTGTATGAATAAATAAATAAATCTTAAAAAAAAAAAAGCAATCTGCTATACCAAGACTCCTCAACTCCATTAAAATTAATTCTCTTCTCCTATTGGGGATAATTCATGAAAAAAAAAAAAAAGGCCTTCCTCCTGTCAAGACGAAAGCAGAACAACTTCAGTATTGCACTGAACTCACGAGTGTTGTGATGTTGACCTTGGACAGTGGCCTGGTAGTGTCTTTGGTAGACAGCTTGGACATTTCTCCATCCAAGGAAATGAGTGCTGTGAGCTGGTGGATGGTCCTTGCTCCACACTCACCCACTGTTCTCAAATTCTAGCTAGTTAAGAGTTGGGGTTACCATAATCATCCCCTGGTGTTTGGGGACTTTGGAAGGCAGCTTCTGGGCAAGGTAGGAAGGCAGCCTGCCTGGTGGTAGGATCAATAACTCCTTCCCATTTAGACAGATGGGCTTAATTTGGTGTGCTCTGTTCCAGAGCTGCAAAATATAGTCTGGGGGAAAAAAACACCACATGAGCTTAATTAGTTCTCATCAAAGGTGCAAGAATGTGGCGGTGGGTAAAATTGATGGGAGTTGCTTCGAGCCAGGATGGAGACTCTATTCATCCTTTAAACTGTAGTTAGCGAGAAAAGTGAGATCCCAAACCAGCAAGTGCAGATTGGCTTTCGGGGACATTCCAGGCAGGTTGCAGCAGGCAGGAGGAGCTCTCTGACTGGTGATGACAGGGTGAGATTCCTGCTCTGTGTGTCCTGCTTCTTAGGACTCCGATGTCCGAGTCAGCGCTAGGCCTCTTCTAAGGTTCTTTCCCGCCATGGAAGCCACACTACTGACTTTCTGGAAGTTCCCTTCCGGGCAGTGAACTCATCCCAGATTGAGTTCTGATGGGAAGTCCTGCTCTTGAAGCTGTAACTTTCAGTCCATAATACTCTCTTATTGGATCCGATTTTATCTGTATTTCTATAGTTGCCAATCTACCTTGGATAGGTAGATAAGATTCTTTCTTGTCCAGCTGTTAGGGCAGCTAAGAGGAGCTAAGAGGAAATGATAACATATTAGGATCCTTAAAATATTTCTAGAAGAAAAGAAGTAGCGTAAAGTTGGTGGTGTTTGCTGTGGAGAAAGATAGGTAGACTTTTAGACAGATAGCCTTGAGTGTGGAGAGCTGGGGTGGTGGGTTGAACTGGTTTATGACTTTATTTCATTTCAAATCCTCTTGGTGAGTTTTGAGGATTGAGAAATAGTCCCATAGATTGAACATTTACGTGGATATTTGTGTTTGGCTTTGAAAAGTCAAAAAGGGCATTATTCTTAATTGCTAATCACACATCAACTAGAGAACAAACTAAAAAGACTCCTTGCCCACAGAGATACTTGACTTAAGCCTGAAAGATAAAAGGTTTTGATCATTATGTTCGTAATTAACTTTCTGGACTAGATCGCAAGGCCCTTCTCCAGGACTTAATCACCCAGCCCCTGACTAGAATGAAGCACCTGCGAAGGGGGCCTGGAAGGAAGGCAGCAGAGAGTACAGATGGGGGCGACTCAGCAGTGTAAACAGGGCTGATGATTCACACTTACAGAGATGGCAAGAGTTTTTATTTAGCATCAAATGGGCCCCGAAGGAACCGTGTGTCTGGCCCGCAGCCTTCGCCTCTGCTGGGGACTGGGACATTAGCTCCTGCGAGCGGCAGGAAGCGGCCCGTCACCCCACATTTGGCATGTCCCTGAGCACTGTGTATCTTTTTGGCTGGGAGAACTTACATTTGGAAATGACAGCAGCTTTCCAAGTCCATAATGGGCCCATCTCTAGCGATGCTAAGTCTGACATCTGTCAAAGTGACACCCTGGCCAGGAAAGGGACACACACAAGGTGGCTTAGTGTCGTCGCTGTACCAGCTTCCTCAGCACTTTGGAGGATGAGCCTGCTTGGGTGTCGGCAGGAACCCCGTCTGTGTGGTTGGGGGGCAAGACCCCACCCGTAATGGGGCCCCAAGTGCGATGTCAGCTTAAGCTGGGTTTAGAGCCTGTTCCAAATCCTTAGCACTTCTGTGTGTGCCCCTGAACTCTGTGCACACAGGCCAAGACTCACTCAGGTCTTAAGAATAAGGAGCATAGGTAAAATATTGCGAGAGGGGCCCTCCCTGGTGGCATAGCGGGTTAAAGCTCAGCACTGAGAATCCAAAGCCGCTTCTGCATGAGTTCGATTCCCGCCTGCCCCGGAGGTGACCACAT